TCCCACCATCCCCCTACCCTCATGATATCACTACTCTCATTACTGTTCCTGAGGGTTTTTTCTGTCCTGAATTCCATGGGTCTAGAGCTCTTATCTGTACCAATGTGTCTAGCTGGATTTGTAATGTAGAATTGGCAGAGGAAGCATTCAGGAACTAGAGGAATGATGTGTGTTTTGTCGGTGCTATACTGCACATGGATTGAATTGTCCCTTCCTTGTAACCCTTCTGTGGGGAGATGTCCAATTGTCTACAGATGGGATTTGGGTCTCCACTCCAACCAACAAATTCATGGAGACATATGTATATAAGGGAGAGGTTTATATACAAGAAGAATTGAACATTGAGAAAGCATCCCAACCCAGTCCAGTCCAAGTCCATAAGTCCGATACCAATCTATAAAGTCTTCTTCAGACTCATGAAACACATGCACTGATGCTGAATGCAGGACGATCATAGGCCAGTGGGTAGAAAGTCTTTGGATCCAGTGGCGTTGTAAGCATCTCAGCGCTGGCAAGGGTCTCTACATGGCTTCTCCGGCTTCAGAGGTCTGGTTGCATCAGTATAGGTCCATGTAGCTTCTCCAACTTAGGGCACTAATGTAGTTCCATGTGTCTTGTCAGATGCAATGTCTCCCAGGGAGTGAGCAGAGAGAAAAGTGTCTCCTGCCTCCAAGGAGGAAGTACTGGATTTCCCAGAATTCTCAGGAGAAGGCCATGCCCACACAGAAGCCTCATTCACTATGATCTGATTGACAAACTAGGCTTCCCTGCTAGATGGCTGCTTGTTTAACTTCAAGCTTTTAAGACCCCAGATGCTATATCTCTTGATAGCCGGGCACTATCCACTTTCTTCGCCACATTTGCTTATGTACCCATTTTGTCTTCAGCCATAGTATTGGAAGATGAGTATCAAAGAGTGCCAGGTTATTAGAACAAAGTGTTCTTGTGTTTAGGGAGACCTTGAGAAGAAGCCCAAAGTCTATCTGCTATCTTAATACTTAACATATAAATATATGTACATTGGCCTATATATATCCCTTCCATTATAAATTAATATATTTACATATATTCATGCTTATAGCTATACCTCTATAAATAGCTTTTGCTTCCTATTTCTTTCCTCTATTTCCTTCCTGCTGTCCCACTGTCATGCTCACCCTCCATTTGGCTCCCAGCAATTTCTCTTGGATGCATTGCACTTGATCAAACCCCACCAGGCCTCCTCACCATCATTTTTAGCTCTCTTGTTGTTCCCTTATTCCTGAGTTTGTTGGCTCCCCACCCTGTCCTCTCCCATGTCCCCCAGGGACCACTGGTCCCATTGTTTTCTCCTTGGGTTTGTTTGTCCTGCCTATCTTATATAGAGAGACATAGGGCGAAACAAAAATCAAAAAACAATAGTTCTAGGTCTGTCTGCTGACTCTTAGGAGTGTGTTCCAGTCAGGTGTGATGAGGTGCCAAGCCTTGTCCCATGAGTCAGAAGTCTATTTTCAGGATTCATCAGGGACTTGGTTACTTTTCTCTACTTGCTGCCCTGTTGCACTCCCTTCACGTTTCACCCCCTGTGTGTGTGGGGCAGACCAGGCACAAATTCTACACAGTGTCTCCAGTGCTGTCCCCTGTAGCACTATGGGTCAATGAGGGAATGCTGTCTCTTGGTGGTGCCAGCCCTGCGGTCCTCTCTGTGCATTGGCTCCTCCGAGCTGGGTGTCGTCCCCAGGGCTTGGTGGGCCATGATGAGGTCCATCCTCTCTCTGTCTCTCTTCCTCTTTTTCCCTCTTAGTTCACACCCTTGTGTTCTGGACAGACCCGCCACTCTTCCCAGGCTATATCTTCAGTGCTGTCCTCTGTCTTACATTCTTCTGGGGAGGGGTTAACATAGCTCAGCTTGGGCCTGGCCCCATCATCCGCTCTGTTAGTTTGCTGCTTCATGCCGGTATGGTGCCTTCAAGGATTGGCACTCTGGGATAGGGTCTGGTCCCTGTCTCCCTTTCCTGTGGAGACATAAATGATACCCTCCCCATGGGTGTATTAGTACCCTGTTCCCCCATCACCCTTGTTTTTTCTCTTTTTCTCTTTCCCCCTATCTTTTAGCTGGCTGCCATATGCATCCCTGGGTTGGGTCAGACCTCTGACAAAGTGCCTGGACCTCAACCCAACATTTATACATTCAGTAGCTTATTCTCTATGTCCATTATACTTTTTGAGCTTACCTCAGTAGACTCGTGTTGTACTTGTCCCTTTGTGCTTGACTAACTTTGCTCTGCATAATTTCCTCCAACTCTTCCCATCAGACAATGCGCATCATGCATTCCTCTTTGCTTTTTAGGGCTGCATAATATTCCATTGTATACACCAGAGTTTTTTAAATCCATTCATCAGTTGATGGAAATTACATTAATCCTTTTGATCCAGCTTGAGTTTTTTTTTATACCAGGGTGAGGTATGGGTCCTGTTTCATCCTTTTACAGATGAGAAATCCAATTCTGTCAGCACCATTTGGTGATGAGACTGTACTTGTTTTTCATCCATTCATTAAAGATCAGTTGTCTATATGTTGTTGTTGTTAGGTGCCATTGAATCAGTTCCAATAAATAGGGGCCCTGTATCAAACAGAATGAAACACCTCTGGTCCTGCACCATCCTCACAATGGTTAGGTTTGAGCCTGTTGTTGCAGCCACTGTGTAATCTACCTGGTCAAGGATCTTCCTCTTTTTTGTTACCCATCTACCTTACTAAGCATGATGTTCTTCTCCAGGGACTGGTCTGTCCTGATCACATATCTAAAGTACTTGAGACCAGTTCTTGCCATCAGTGCTTTTAAGGAGTGTTCTGGTTATACTCCTTCCAAGACAGATTTGTTGGTTCTTCTGGCAGACTAAAGTACTGTCAATATTCTTCACCAGCATAATTCAAACACACTGTTACTTCTTCAGATCTTCCTTATTCAATGTCCAATTTTCGCATGCATTTGAGGTGATGGAAAATACCATGGCTTGAGTCAGGCACATTAGTCCTCAAAGTACTATCCTTGCTTTTCAACATTTTAAAGAGGTCTTGTGCAGCAGACTTAATGAAATGCATCATTTGATCTCTTGATTGCTGCTTCTTTGAGCATTGATTGTGGGTCCAAGTAAGACAAAATCCTTGACAACTTCAACCTTTTTTCCATTTATTATGATGATATCTATTGGTCTATTTGTGAGGATTTTGGTTTTCTTTACATTGAGTTGTAATCAATACTAAAGGCTGCAATCTTTGATCTTCATTAGCAAATGTTTCAAGTCCTCCTCACTTTCAGCAAGCAAAGTTGCATCATCTGCATATCTCAGGTTGTTCCTTCCTCCAATCTTTATAACACATTCTTCTTCATATAATGGTCTGTAGGTGGCTGAATTGATTCAGAGTTCTCTAGTTTATTCCATTGGTTTATGTACCACCCTGCTATAACTACTGTGTGTTAGGTTTTGAGGTTGGGAAGTGAGAGACCTCCTACTTTGTTCTTCTTGAGAAGCTCTTTGCTCATCCTGGGTCTCTTCCCTCTCCATATGAAGTTAGTCATTAATTTTTGTATTTCCTTAAGGAAAAGTTGGGATCTGGATCAGAAATGCATTGTATTTATAGATTGGCTTGGGTAATAATGACATTTTCACCATACTAAGCCTTTGTGTCCTTGAACCTGAGAAGCCCTGTGACCTAGTGGTTTTTGTGTTGGGCTATATTGCTGCACATGGAATATTCGTCCACTTTTATAGGTCTTCTTGCTTTCTTGTAGTAGTGTTTTGTACTGTTCTTTGTATAGGTCTTTTGTTTTTCTGGTTAGTCTTATTCTAAGTATTTCATTTTGTGTGTGGCTATTGTAAATGCTATTATTTTCCTGATTTTGTTTTTAGTGCGATCTTTGTTAGTGTAGCTTAGCACTTCTGAGCCAAATATGTGAAGTCCCCATGAGAAGTGCCTTTGTTCTTTCCCTCACTGAAAACCTTGGATCAATTTTAAGAAGCCTGGGTCTTAAAAATAAAGGTTTCTTAATGTTCAAATAATGTTTTGGTAAGATTGTAGTGTATCTTAAAATTTTTCTTTTAAGCAATATGAAATGCTCCACCAATTTGCCTTTCCTCTTTGTGCAGGGTTCATGGTAATCTCTCTGTATCACTCCCATTCCAGTGTGTGCTGCTGAAGCGAGGGCTCTAGTGTATCCTTTTGAACTTGAGTTCACTTCTTCCCTAGAGAGTACTTGACCTTGACTATACTTTTAACTACACATTACATGTATAATGTTTTAAAAGGACATTAGAGCACTGTTTATTTTTTTTGACACCCAATCTTTTTCTATTTCTGGAAATTACACACTTAAAAAAAATTCTAGTTAAGATTTTTCCCCAGGAACAAAGCCTCCTAAATATTGTTACTATGAATTATGAACAATCAATTCTCTCTGGCAATCAGCTTCATAAAATGTATCAAAAAGTTATAATATTGGTATAGATCAATATTTATTGAAATGGAAAAAATATCCTAAATAATTTATTAAGTGAAAAAAGCAGTTTATATAGATCTATTCATAATAAGAATTTATTTTACAAGATCACAAATCTATAGTTCTGTGTATATATATCTATTTATTATATTGATGCACACACACTTATTGCAGAATATATATATACACACACACACACACACACACACACACACACGCACACAAATATATCTGGGAGGATTTTTTTGTTTTCTACTGGGAGGATTTTTTAAAAAGGTTAAATTAGTTAAATCTTACATCTTGTTCTGAGAGTTATTACAATGGGTTTTGTAGTTTGATTCCATCTGTCCTACACTTGTATTTAAAAAAAAAAACCTCGAATACAAAATACAACCTGCTTCTAGAGCATTTGGGTATTTATAAATAAGCACATTATAGTGAGCTATTATTTTGTGCCACATTACTTTGGAATTTTCTTTTGCCACATGCTACAAACTCTTTTTTACCTCAACTTTTTAGAAGACCCATGTGGTGCTTTGCTGGTTAAGCTGGCTGGGGTAGAACTCACTGAGACTGGGAAGGCCTGGTTACAGAAAGAGCTGACACCTTCCCAGCTACTTTGGTTCCAGCTTCTTGGAAGGGAGAATTCAGCCCTCTTTTGTTACCTATTAGTGAATAAGGTAAGCACTGTGAAAATACAGCAATATTTCATTCTTATTTTTATATTTAAATGCTTATTTATGAAAACTTTGATTGCATAATAAGACCTTATGAATCTTTTTTCTCTTTAGAATTCTACTACTAGTGACTACAGAGAATCAACTATATTAAAATACTTCATATTTAATTTTTATTAATATTTTAGTTACAATATAGGAAGGAATAGAAAATTAAGGAAAAGGAAACAAAACTTTCATGTCATTAATGAGTGAGCATGCTAATTTAAACAGTATCTTTTATACTTCCTTATGCATGGATAAATTACATCACACTTGTTATTAGAAACCACTTTTAAAATGAAGCTTGTTAACTGAAGACTACAAAGAATATGGCAATTTCTATAACATAAATATTGCTCAGGTTGCCTGGGTGTACAGATGTTGGATCGTTAGAAACTGAGCATATTTATTATTTATGACAACAGCCAGTCATTTATAGATGATGCCTCAGAGTCATCCTACCTTTTTATTGTTCATCACCATCATGTGAAGGGATGCCACTGTCCTTCGATGTGCCTCCTTCCAAATTTCTTTTAGTGATAGATTCTGAATCACCTCAGTGCTGTACAGCTCTTACAAGGGTGGTGACGATGATTGCAATAATGCAGAAACAAGCTTGTAACTCAGTATCGAAGTAACCAGGGTAAACTTTGCATCTCGACTGATTTCTAACCATATAAAAACATGAATATGGGTAGTCACTGAAAGAGGATTAAGAGCAGTTTATGATTTGACAGCATTAGGTTTGGATTTTGATTTTCTTATTTTTAAAATCTATTATTATATAAAAGCTAATCTGGGAAATGTTTTATTAAAAAAGGGGGAAATGTTGTTGCTAGCCGTGACATAGTAGAACTGACCCATAGGGCTTTAAAAAAATAAAAAGATCATTTTATTGGGGGCTCTTACAGCTCTTACAACAATCCATATATCAATTCTATTGAGCATATTTGTACATATGTTGCCATCATTATTTTCTAAACATTTACTTTCTATTTGAGCCCTTGATATCAGCTCCTCTTTTCCCCCTCCCTTCCCCCCACCCAGTGACCCCTTGATAAATTATAAATTATTATTATTTTCCTATCTTATACCCCAACTGACCACTGTCTCTCTTCCCCCATGGTTTTTGGTGTTTGTCCCCCTGGTGTGTATGTGTGTGTGAGTTTTTCTGGTTATGTGTTGATCATTGCAATCGGTTCCTTTCCATGCCTCCTCTCCCTACCTTCCTCCTACCCTCCTAGTATTGCTGCTTCCATTCCTGTTCCTGGATTCTGTGTGTCCTGAGCTCTTATCTCTTATCTGTACCTGTGTACCTGCTCCGGTCTAGCCCACAGTGAAAGGCAGCACTGGGGTCATGGTAGTGGGGGTGAGGACCCATAGAGCTTTCTTGACTGCACTCTTTACAGGAGCAGCCCTGCTAGCTTTTCAGTTAGCAACCGAGCTGATAACTGATTGCACCACTAGGGCTTCTTTAAGAAACAAATATCTCATATTAAAAAGACTGGGAACATAACTATTTTAATTCTTAAAAGTTTCTTGAATTAATAATAGAAAGTCTAGTTAAATCATTTAAAAATTTAAACTTTTTATTTGTGAATTAGGTGATATTTTATAGAGCAGATTATCAGTTTTACATTCAATAATTCATAAAGATTTTGTTTCAACTCATCCATCGAAATCCTCTCAATGTACTATCACTTAACCTACTTCGTCCCTGTGTTTTCTGTTTCCATCACTTTACTTGTCCTTTGCCCTAACATGGGAGTGAGTTTAATTCTTAGAAGTGGAGGGTGACTAAGGGCCATAATCTTGGCTAGTTCATCAGTCTCCATCTGCCCAGTAAGACTGGTCTCATTTATGGAAATCCTTTAATTTTTGGATGTTCACATCATATTCAGGTCCTTCACAATAGGAATTATCCAAAAGTTAGTGTTTGAAGCATCCCACATTTAAAATTAACTTATTAATACAAGCTTATTTAAAGTATACAGTGGCCTTGTAAATATAATAGCTTTTCTTTTATGCTGAGTATAATTGCCAAAACAGGAAATGATTGTGATGATGAAAATATAATAATAATAATAATATATTTAAGTGTTTGCCATATATCAGACACTGAGCTGGGCACTTTGAATATGATTTCGTTTATCCTCAAAACCATCCTGTGGGAGCGTTGGGTTTAGTCCTACTTCTAGGTGGAATTGTAGGAAAGTCCATGCCGTGAGCAGTCAGAGTAGTGGAGGAGCCTGTGTTGAGGTTTACTAATGGGTGAGATTGAATTGCTCTGATTTTAGTTGAACAAGTTAGCTCATAATTTTTCTTAATTGAGAAAAATAGGACAAACCTTCACAAATTTTATCTACTAATTTACCATCCTTTGCCCAAGTGTTACTGTATTTAAAGGAACAAAAATTACTTTGTTTCTTGATGGCTTTAGAAAAGTCTCTCCCAGTTAAACCCTGAACTTTTCAGAATTGAATTGAATTACTTTTCTAATGGAGCTTTAAGTTATTAGTGCTTAAAATTTTTTTTTATGAATTGTTTTATTGGGGGCTCTTACAGCTTTTCTAACAATCCATGCAGCAATTGTACCAAGCACCTTGGTACAGATGTTGCTATCATCATTTTCAAAATGTTTTCTTTCTACTTGAAACCTTTATATCAGCTCCTCTTTATTCCCTCCCTCCCTCCCCCTTCCACCCTTGTGAAACCTTGGTAAATTATAAATTGTTATTGTTTTAATATTTTATACCATCTTTTGTCTCCCTTTACCTACTTTCTGTTGTTCATCTCCTTGGGGTGGGGCTGTTGGGGGGTTAGGGTTATACGTTGATCTTGAACTTGATTTTCTCTCTGAAATAAATCCTCAAGGGATTGTAGAAAAAGCTAAGTGGGCTCTTGTTTCCAATGAGTGAAAACAGTCCTATTTGTTTTCATTCAGAGCCAAAACAAACAAAGTCACTGCTCCTGAGTGGGTTCTGACTCATCACCCTGTAGGACAGGGTAGAACTGCTTCTGTGGGTTTCAAAGACTAACTGTGTACAGGAATAAAAAGCTCAGTCTTTCTCCCGAAGAGTGGTGGGTGGTTCAAACTGCTGACCTTGTGGGCAGCAGCCCAACTGGTAACCACTCTGCCCCCAGGGTTCCTTTGGCTTCATTAGGAAGTGAGAAATCTCTCTCTCTCTCTTTTTCAATTAAAAGATCATTTTATTGGGGACTCTTACAACTCTTGTTATGATCCATACATCGATTGCATCAGGCGGATTTGTACATGTGTTGCCTTCATTCTTTTGTAGACATTTACTTTCTATTGAGCCCTTGGTATCAGCTCCTCTTTTTTCCCCCTCCCTCCCAACCCACCCTCATAATCCCTTGATAGATTATAAATTGTTATCATTTTCATATCTCACACCGACCACTGTCTCCCTTCCCCATGTTTTTGTTGTTCTTCCCCCTGGAGAGGGGTGTATGGTTATGTATGTGTCGACCATTGTGATCGATTCCCCCTTTCTCCCTTCCTCTCCCCCACCTCCCCCTACCCTTCTGGTATCACTCTTCCCCCTCCTGTTCCTGAATTCTGTGTGTCGTGAGCCCCCATCTATACCTGTGTACATGTTCCGGTCTAGTCTGAATTGAGAGGCAGCACTGGTGAGGGATGAGGACGCCTCAAAGAACTAGAGAAATATTGTGTGTTTCACCGATGCTTTACTGCACCCTGGTGACTCATCCCTTCCCTGTGGCCCCTCTGTGGGGTTATTGTTCCATTGTCTACAGATTGGCTGTGGGTCTCTGCTCCTACCCCCTTTGTTTGCAACAATATGTTTTTGTTTGTTTGTTTGTTATGTGTCTGCTGATGCCTATTACCTGGTCCTGATGACTCCTCATGATCACACTGGTGGTGTGCTTCTTCTGTGTGGACTTGTTGCTTCTCTGCTGAATGGCCACTTGTTTAACTTCAAACCTTTAAGACCCCAGATGCTATATCTTTTAATAGCCAGGAACCAAACTCCTTCTTCACCACATTTGCTTATGCAACCATTTTGTCTTCAGCAATTGTGTTGGGAGGGTGAACATCTCAGATTGCCGATTTGTTAGAACAAAATGTTCTTGTATTGAGGGAGTGTGAGAAATCTCTTGAGTGGAATTTCCTACAGGATGACGATTCAAAGACCAGACTATTTTCATGTTATTTATTTTGAGAGAAGTTTTTTTAAAAGCATGACTTACATGCCAATGCCCTTATAAATACTGAAATTCTAGACTTCATCTAAGACCCCTGTGATGATACTGTCTGGTTTGCAGTTTTTGTCATTGTGTGTCCCACCCCTTCCAAACAAAGCACGAACTTGTTTTTATACTTTATCACTTCTGTGCTTCTTTGGGGAAGACCAATGAGTCGGTGAAGAATGATATATTTTAAGATTCAATTAGATTTTGAGAAAGGCCTCTTTGGGGCATGAACTGCTTGAATTTAATAACAGTTGTTTTACACTCTTGTTGGGACTATTCTGCTTTAAATGTTTGCCTTTTCTCTGGAAGACTAAAGTTACTGATTTTAACGTAACAAAGATGCTATCTGTATACTGACAGCTTTATTAATTTATTGGTTTCTGTGATTTTTTAAATTTTCTTTAAGGGTGGCTATTTTAACGTGAACCTGAATGAAGAAATTCTGAGAAGAGGCCTTGGTAAAACTGTCCCTGTCAAAGGGCTAAATCATGATTCTAAAACCTACTGGAAAATTCACAGAAACTTGCTTAAAGCAGAATTAACGGCCTTGAAGAAAGGAGCAGGATTATGGAAGGAAGAGCATGAAAAAGAAAGTTATTTGGGAAAACTCAAAGGCTCCTGGAGAGAAATGTGGGGGAAAGACAGTTCTTTTGTAAAACGTGGACCAAATTTCAATTTGAAAAAGGAAAGTTATTATGACAATCTCAGAAAGACTTATGAAACATGGAAAGAAAATCTGAATAATTACTCCTTAATACAGAAGTTCAGAGAACTTATGAGTCGCATATACTTTCGTAAAAAAGAGTGAAGTATTCCAAGAAGTCTGGAGATGAAAAGAGTAAAATTTGTAAATATATGGATATTTTTCATTGCATTGAAATGAAAATTTCCCCAAATGAAAAAATTAGTAGTTTAATGGTATTGAAATATTAGAACATCATTGTTATTATAAATGACATCAGAATTAACATTAAAAATAGTGAGTAATGTAATTCTATGTGTATTTAGGAAAAAATAATGTCTATTTTATATGTGTTCTGAAGATTCACTGACATCGAGTCATTGTTGACATATAGTGACCTCCTCTGGGTTTCCAAGGCTGTAACTGTTTATGGGAGGAGAAATCTGCTGGTGGTTTCAAACTGCCAACCATGTGAATTGCAGCCCAACACATAACCACTACACTAGCAGGACACCTGCTTGTTTTGTAGATTACATACTTTGAAAAGAGTAAAATTTGTAAATATATGGACTTTTCACTGAGTTGAAATGGAAACTTTTCCAAATGGACAAATTAGCATCTAATTGTATTGAAAATTAAAAAGATTTAAAAATTATAAATTACATCAATTAATTTTAAACAAATTTTGATTACTTTATATGTGTTTAGGAAACACATATATGTTTATATGTGTATATTTTATATGAGTTTAGGGGAAAAAACCTATCAGATTGTAAGTTAAAATATGTAATATAAGTGTTTTAAGAACTGAACTACTGTGTTATTTTGGGCAGCCATAATTTTTATTGAAAGCGATTTTTGTTTTATTTTTATAGTTTTATCAATTTTGAGTATTTATAATAAAACACTTATCAACAAGTCAGTTCTACTCAGCAACCCTATAGAAAGTGTGTAAGACTTACTCTTTACAGGAGCAACCAGCCTCATCTGTCTCATGAGAGCAGCTGGTGGGTTTGAACTGCTGACTTTGTGATTAGCAGCACACTGCTTTTCTACAGTGTTACTAGGACTCCTTATAATAATTTGGAGGGTGATAACAGGGAGAAATTAGCCATTCTTTCTTGCTAGAAAGGGTCAAAATACTCTTTTCTTACAGCATAACCCCAGTTTATCAGCAGCTAGGAAACTGTTGAGAGGTTATGTCTGGTCTCCCACCTGCTGCTCATCTGCTGGTGAATTGGGGGCGATGCTGCGAGAGAAGTACAGGCAGACCTTTTGTAGCCATACAGAATGGCTAATTTCTACTTATGGTTACCCCACCCCCAAAAGGACGCAGGTGACCCTGAATATGTGTGTACTATGAAATTATCAACTGTAACATTATTTCAAGTTTACCTATGTATATATGATTGTCTATATGTATTTATGTACAGATGAAAAGTGTTCAGTAATATATTTTTAGTTTATTACCCTTAAGTATACGATCATTGAAATACAGCTTATCATTTTAAGATTCTTTGGATTGGAGAGAAATGCTTCTTTCAAAAAAAATATTTTAAGTAATGTCACACAAGTAGACACTGAACAACTTGTTGAATGGAACAATGCTTTGATTGAATTTTATTTTCCAATTGTTTGTTTCTAATATATGAAGACAAGGAGTATTGCTACAAAATCCTAGAAAGCTCTGTGTTAAACAAAAATATCAAAATTTAAAGCTATTTTTCCCCCCAGCATCTCTTCCATCTGGCTCGAGAGCAGTGGGTAGTGAGCCCTTTGAGGGTCGAACGACACTTTCACAGGGGTTGCCCAATTCACAACAGTAGCAAAATTATAGTTACGAGGTAGCAACGAAAATAATTTTATGGTTGGGGGGTCACTACCACATGAGGAATTGTATTAAGGGTCGGGGCATTAGGAAGGTTGAGAACCTCTGTTCTAGATAGTTCTGAAGATGGTGTTTCCATCTCTATTAGTTTCCCCCAAAGGATTCTGTGCTCTTTAGTTTACACCGATCAAACAGCAGTTTTGTCATGCTCAAGGGACTCAAAATGTGTTCCTTTTGAAAGGTTATTGAGTTTGGGGAACAGAAAGACTCCTCCAAGGACAATATCTGCGCTGTAGGGTGGGTGGATCAGGTTTCTCACTGAAATCGCTTAGGGCAGCCCCTGGCTTCAGTCAGAGGATAAGCAGTTGCCAGTGCTGCCTGGTTGGAAAAAAATTCTCATTGCAGTTTTCCTGCCCTTTTCCTCACGGATGCAGTTTTCATTTCTCTTAAAGCTTCTTTTTAATACGTCTCGATGGTTGTCTTGTGCCCTTTGAGGAAATCTATCAAGGCTACTTTGGGAGCCCCAACAATTGCCAGAACTTTCTGAGCTGACCTCTCAGCCTTGAGTTTAACTGGCACAGCGGCTTCTCTGGAGAGCACAGCTCTGATTGGACCTTTTTTTTGAAGGTTCCCTAAGAGGAGGCTTTGACCAGTGTTTTACTGAGAGAACTTAAAGACACCCACTGATGGCAGAGACGTGTTTAAACATGTTTTATTGGAGAACAAGCCTGTGCACGTATAAAGTGGAGCACTAGGAGCCGTATTTTGACTTGCCCCAGTACAAGAATACAATTTGCTAAATTCACTTGCTAGTTCTTTTGATTGTTTTGGAAGTTTCTTTATGAGTTTGTTCTTTAAATAATCTTATCATCAGAAACTAGGGTTAGTTTAACTTCATTTCTAATCAGTATGCCTTCCCTTCCCCCTCTTTAGCCTTATGTAATCCTGTACTATGTGAGTAGATGTGACGAAAGCAGGTGTCCTAGCCTGGTTTCAGTGGAGACAAACAGGCAGGAAAGCTGGGTGAATGCAAATGGAGAACCCAGAATGGAAGAAGAATCAGGATGAAAATCCACATTGTGATGTTTGCAACAAATGTCACAAAATGCTCCATGTCTAAACCTTTGGGAAACTAATATTCTTTGCAAACGTTCATCTCAACCACAATAAGACATTTAAAAAAAACTTATGAACCAACTCTCTAAGAAAAGTCAACGCACCATTGTACAACGCAGAGGTAAAATAGCATGTCCCTACTGCACAACATTATCTTATTCAACTGGTCAGGGGTGTGATGACTTCCAGCCCTGGAGGTATATGAGTTGCTTAGCCAATATACATGACCCAGTTCTGTTCTCTGGGAAGGTTGCCCTTATCTTCAGGACCATGTCTGAAGGAGGCATCAAGGAAGATCTGCCCTGTAAGAACAGGACCCTATGAATTGATGGTAGTGAGTTTCCTGTTTGAACTAGATGCAAGTCAGACCAGGATAGGGGCCCCTCCACAGATGGTGACTGTAGCAAGGTTGCCTTCCCTGTCTAGTCTCCACATGGCCTCTGGCAGTGAAGCCAGGAAACCCTCCAGACATGGCCCCAACTCAAAACTATTCTGTGTGCTAAACCATTGTACAAATAAAGACATGTATGAAGAGTCTGGGAGCACGGCTACCTCATGGTCAAGAAGTGACACTGCCAAGGTAAGGGACAGGTATCAGGAGGGCTGCCTGCCACTTGCCCTTATTCACTACCCAACATTAACCTTTTTCCCCCTAGTTGTTCCTAACTGAACACACTTCTGTGTCTGGAGAACCTGAGACATGTCTGGAGATAAACCTGAGTCCTATCCCCTCAGTGATCACACACACACACACGTACATCTATACACATACTTTAGATATGTTACCGGGAGAGACCAGTTCCTGGTAAAGGACATAATGCTTGGTAAAGTGGGGATCGTGAAAAAGAGGAAGACTTTCAATGAGATGGATTGACAGTGGTTGGAACAATGGGTTAAACATAACAGTTATGAGTATGATGCAGGGTTGGACCATGTCTCTCCTTCCCCCACCAAGTAAATGCTCCCCGAAATACAGGATCTGGCATATACTAAGCATTTAATAATAGCTTACGTAATTGTCTGACTGGTGTATTAAATGAGTTGAAAATCTTTTTCCATTTAAAACAATTTTTTTCTTCCCCTTTACAGTGTGCTGTTTGGCCTGCTAATTGCCATGTTGGCAGTTCAAACCTACCAGCCACTGCTCCTGTAAAGGTTTACAGCCTAGAAAACCCTACACAGGGTCACTATGAATCAGAATCAATTTGATGGTACCGGATCACCTAAGTTAATAAGTGCCTACAGTGTACTTAGTGGTTTACCCTCCCATTCCTTCTATCCCCTGGTGTGATGGTCAGGTTTCATATCAACTTGACTGTGTCAGGAATGCCAGTGATTTGGCAATTAAAATCTAATTCCTCATGAAATTAGGGAACCCAATGTAATCAACTCCATAATGGGATCTGCTGTGGACAGTTAATCAGCTATGAAAAGTATAGGGCTCTTGCTCAGGTGGGGAGCTTGCTTGCTTTTTCCTGGGGTTGGATCCTGCACCTGGCTCTTTGGTCTCCAGTTCTTTGGATATGAGCCAATGGTCTGCCATATATCCGGATCTGGAACCATAAGCTGCCTGCTATCTGACCTGCTGCCCTTGAGTTCATTCTGTTTTCCAGTCACAAACCTGGCTTCCTGACCTTGGATTGATTTGTCTCAGTTTTTGCTGATCTTGGGTTTATCAGCTACCAAAGTTCTGTGAGTCCGAACACTGACCTAAGGACTTGGTACTGGGCTGGACCACTTCTGCAACTTTGTGAGCCATTTTCTTGATCTAAATTTCTCTCTCAAAACACACACACACACACACACACACACACACACACACACACACACAACACATACACGTCACTAGTTTTGTTTCTCTAGAGCGGAATCAGCAAATTTTTGAGATGGAAAAGCCAATCTTGTCCCTCAAAACAACTTAAAAATTATGCAGGAGCTATGACTATATTTTTACAAGCAAATCACCATTATCTGAATAATAATTTTTCAGTTTTATGTCAGAGCAATATATGTATGTATGTACCGAAAGAGCCATATGTGGCTCTAGAGCTGCAGTTTACAGAGCCTTGCTCAGGAGAACTTGGCCTAACGCACCCACCTGGTCACCGTCAAAGAATGTTTCTGTTAGATGGAATCTTGACTTTTTAATAATAGGATCTCATACAATATTTGCCCTTCAATGATTGACTAATTTCACTTGGCATAATGTCCTCCAGCTTCATCCATGTTATGAAGTATTTCACTTATTCATCACTGTTCTTTAATGTTACATAGTATTTTGTATATGTACCAGTTTTTTTATATCCTTTTCCATGAACGGACATGTTTCCATCTTTTTTGCTATTGTGAACAGTGCTGAGATGAACATGGGTGGGCATGTACTTAATTCATGTTATGGCTTTTTTTAAAAGAATATATATAAAATACTGGAGCTGTTGGATGATATGGTATTTCTATTTCAAATTTCTAAGGAAGGCCAGGCCA